CCTGAAGTACACCTCTGAAAGACACCTCCAGAGGTGTAGTGCACCTCTGAGGCACCTCAGAGGAAACGCTGCACTTCTTTTATCGATCTCGTCGCCAGACTCCGATTTCTCTTTGTCGGGCCATGTGCCGCTCGCTCGTCCGCCCAAGTGACTTGGACGCGCGGTCGAGGGCACCCCACCGTTCCTGGGGCGCGCTGGCGCTCGCCAGCAATCGTCCCCCACCCATCCACCCTTTTGCCTTTGAGGCTGTCGCTCCGAGAAAACTTGTCTCGCAGCTGCGAGAAATTACCTTCTCGGGTCCGTTGGCCTCTTTCGTAGGGAAGAATTTTGATACCCGTCAAGACGCCTGCTGGGGGCAGCTTCGCGATGAAGCCGTTTGTTCCCCACTTGTCAACAGCAGGCGCTGGCGCCATTAACGTATCAGCGTTCTCCCACGTGATGTTGACCGGGTGGGCGGGTGGTCATGGAAGGTATTTTAAGGACAGTCACCCAGTCCGATGGAAGGTATTTTAACGTCAGTCACCCAGACGAATGGAAGGTATTTTAACGTCAGTCACCCAGACGAATGGAAGGTATTTTTAACGTCAGTCACCCAGACGAATGGAAGGTATTTTAACGTCAGTCACCCAGACGAATGGAAGGTATTTTAACGTCAGTCACCCAGACGAATGGAAGGTATTTTAACGTCAGTCACCCAGACGAATGGAAGGTATTTTAACGTCAGTCACCCAGACGAATGGAAGGTATTTTAACGTCAGTCACCCAGACGAATGGAAGGTATTTTAACGTCAGTCACCCAGACGCATGGAAGGTATTTTAACGTCAGTCACCCAGACGAATGGAAGGTATTTTAAGGACGTCACCCAGTCCGCAACGAGAGCAACCAAAGGAGGCAATGGTATTGCGTTCCCGGGCCCTGCGTGGTATTTTAACGCCGTCACCCAGGCGAGCATGGGCATGTAGTTCATGATGGTATTTTAACGCCGTCACCCAGGCGAGCATGGACAGGTAGCTCACGATGGTATTTTAACGCCGTCACCCAGGCGAGCATGGACAGGTAGCTCACGATGGTATTTTAACGCCGTCACCCAGGCGAGCATGGACAGGTGGCTCACCCCAGGCGAACCGTTGAATTTGAACCGGCGGCCACGTGATCGCACCAAGTTGATTGAGCGAACTTGTCAGTTCTCTGATGCGATTACGTGCCCAGCCCCGTTGGATCGTCCGTGAGGCCGGCGTAGTCGGTCGTCGAGGGCGGGCTGAAGTCCGTCCGATGACCGGCGGCACTGCCGAAGACGTAGACGCTTCGGACCATGCCGGGTTCGAGGGGGACCCCATCATCGGGCGGCGTCACGGGCCGGGAGATACGCGACTGATCTGAGCTGTTGGAGGCAGGGTACCAACGGCGCGTCCCTGGCGGCTGGAAGTCCGAGCCCGTGGGTGACGGCGGCTCGCGCCCGGCGGCGAGGGCGGCGTCGTGCGCACTGAGAGCGTCGGCTGTGAGTCGACTTGCGAGAGCGTACGGCGCCTGGCCCCAGTCTGGTGCGGGTCCGGGTTCGAGCCAGTCTGGCCGGTTCATGGGTAGGACTGGCTCGGCGCCCCTCTCCCGGTTGCCGCGCACCACCGGCTCCGGAGCGCAGGGGTGCGTGGCCCAGCCGCCGTTCATGAAGCCGTGCGGCGGCCCGCTCCAGTTCCCTCGGCCGTCGCCCCACGTCCACAGCCAGGAGAACGGGGCTCCCCAGCCATACGACACACGCGTCCGCGGCGGGTCGTCGTAGTCGGAGTCATAGTCGCTGCTGTTGGGGCCTCCCCGCTCCTCGTCCTCGGTCGGTGGGGCAGGCGCCGTGGTGCGCTCGATGTAGCGCGAGTCGTGGAAGCCGCGGTGGCCCCAGCGGCGGCAGTCCTCATCTCCGGGTGACGGGACCCATTTGAGGGGGAGGCCGTGACAGCCGTATCGTCGCACGGCGGCGCGCAGCACGTGGCGCGCCTCGCCGTCGCTCAGCACTTCGGCGGCGACGGACGGTGTGAGCTGGCGGCAACGCGGGAAGATGTAGCGCCCATCAGGCAGGATGGCCACGTTTCGGGACAGGCGGCCGTTGTAGCCAACTACGACCACCGTCACACGGTCGAGCTCCGCGCTAAGGCCGAAAGGCGCGTCCGCTGGATCGTCCGTCATGAGGACGCACGTCATCCGTTTGAGGGCGCCTGGGTACCACAGGAGGAGTCGCCCCACCTCCCTGTCATCATGCACGCGGTGGTACATAGTTTGACGGTACACTCGGCGGCGGTTCGGGAAGTGCTCGCTGGTGACGCCGGGAAAGGGCGCCGCGTCCGTGAGCGCCGGGGGCGGCGACGGCGGCGGCGATACCGCGCGGGCGGCGGTCGGCGCATCCGAGTCGCCGTCATTCGCGGTGGTGGCCGCCAGTCGGATGGCGGCGGCGAGCGCGATCGCGACGAGGGCGAGCAGCACGACGGGGGCGAGCCAGGAGGCAGGTCCGGGCAGTGGGGGTGATGCCTGGCGCGGCGCACCCATGCCCGCCACTGCCCGGCAGCAAGCGAGGAGCACTGCGAGGCGCACGCGCTTGGCTACGCGAGGCGTAGGAACGCTGGCCGCCCCTGGTGAGGGCGTCGTGCGGTGGCTGGCGCTCGTACCACCCACATTGCTCGGGCACTCAGGCCCAGCTTCGCGCTCGGCAGGGCGCGCGCGCCGGAGGTCTGCGAGGGAGGGTCCGCTTCGCTGGCTCGGCTGGCGCGGCGACCGGCGCACGGCGGCGCATGACAGCCACTCGTCGGCGAAAGCAAGGCCCGACGCGGTGCGCGAGTGCGGGAAGGCTAGCAGGCAGTCCCCCTTCTCGACGCGGAGGACGCGTGCCGTCCACGCGGTGCCGCCATTCTCCTCGCAAGGGTAGGTCGGCCAGACGTCGCGGTCGACGTGCACCTCGTCGCCCGGCGCGAGCGCTGGCGCGCGCGGCCCCCTTCGCCCGGAGCGGTTGGGCGTACCGGGAGGGCGGCGGGGCGGGAGCTGGGGCGGGAGCGGGCTCCCGTGAGGGTCGGTCAAGCCGAGGTGAGGCGTGGGCGCCCCCTCGGCGCGTCCGAGCCCTCCCTCGGCGAGCGCGCCGAGCGCCCCGTCGTACTCGCGCTTGCCGCTCGGCGGGCCCGGAGAAGCAGCCCGGAAAGCACCTTTTTTTTTTAGGCTGATATTCAGCTGAAGAACCTTCGCTCGGTTGGGGATGGGACGGGGAACTTTTGCGAGTGGGCAGGGAACTGCAGGGGGAGAGGGGGAGGGAGGCCCAGCGAGGGGCTGCGGCTGGATCGTACTGCGCGGCTGGACTAAAGACGCACTACAGTCCCGTAGCCGAGAGAGCCCGCGCCGTGAGTTCGACGCGGTCGGGGGGGCCTGCGGAGAGGCCAGCGAGGTGGCGATCGCTGTACTTCATGGTCGTCAAGTGACCGGCTGACTCGCCAGAGGTCGATACTCTGGACGACCCATAGGATGCCACGAATGCCTGAAGGAGAGGGAGGCGAGGCCAGAGGCAGGCTCAGCTGCTCTCGGGTGATCCCGCTTTGGAGGCTGAAGGACCCGATGGTCCTGTCACTCTCTCTAAATTTAGACCCAGGCGCCCTCCCTTCGACCGTATACCGAGACAGGGGAGTAATATCGTGGGGGCGGCACACTAAGGACGGTGGTGTCGTGGCAGTGCCAATGGGTTAGAACGACATTGTGCTTCATCGAGTTTCATGCGCTCATGCGGATTCAGGTTGTGCGAATTTGCTGAAATTCTTTCCTGCGAGGAGCCTGTGTGCTGTGCAGAGAGTTGCCTTTGTTTAATTCTTTCCTGCGAGGTTGTGGTTTGTCCTCTCCGGTGGGCTCACTGCGGGGTTGTGGCACCTTGAACACGAGAGAGCCGAACAGCAGCCTGTCCCGCGCTGCCCGCGCTATCCCAGCCTGGCCCTCCTTGCACGCTCCGGTGCCGCTCCCCAGTGGCCTGAGTCGCCTAGCCCGAACTGAGCGCAAACGCTGTGCTTGCAGGCGTCCTATCGACAATGGGAGCTGACGCAGAGCTCTCACGCTCCCGCGACGCCAGCGTGTGTGACCTCGCCGGCCTGTGCGCTGCGAAAGACGTCAAGCCCGGTAACTCGAGCGCAGCGCCCTCCGACATCTTGCGCGGTCTCTCGCTGATCTTCGGTCTCGCGCTGATGCTCGGATTCTCATACACCGCGTCTCAAGCGCTCACGCACTGAGGAGAATATGTGGCGGCCGAGGCGGCGCTGGCCTCGGCCGAGGCGGCGCTCGCGGCGGCGTTGTCCAAGGAGAGGCGCGCGGCCACTGCCACTGCGATGGCCAAGGCTGCCGCTGCCAGGATGGCAGCGGATGCGGCCCGGCGCTCGTAGTGAAGCTGCTGACTGGCGTGGCCGCTCTCGGTACGTGTGCGGGGAAGCTCGAGGACTCTCTGGGGGCTGTGCACATGCATGCTAGTTGTTCAGCATGATTCCACGGCAGTTTGTTTCCACAAATTCGTGATCTCCTCGTGCGGGCTCAAACCTCGGGACCGGGGTTGTGCTTTTGCGTGAAGACGCCAACCTCAGGCTGTCGCTCAGGGCGGGAATACGGCATCGTAGTGTCTTCAGAGCACCGGATTACCGCTCGCTAAACGAGCCGTAGTGCGCAACGGGGGAGGGAAGCGCTCTGCAGCGGGACGCCGGCACGCGATTCAGCGGCGGCCAGGCGGCGGCATCTCGGCACGCGGGGGGGGGCATTCACGATTCAGCCGACTCCGTCGCTGCCCGGGGATTGATCTCCCACTCTTGTGTGTCATTACCCATTCACGCTCTCTCGTGTGTCATTACCCGATCCCAATTATTGGGGATTGGATAGTCTACAAAGGGTGTGCGATCGCTCCCGCGTGCACTGCCCAGACTCGTCGCCTGGGACGGCGGGATCAGGCCCGCCTCCCAACGACGTGGTAGCGGCGGCCGTCTCGGGCCGCCGCGCCTCCATCATGGAGACGAATATTAATGAGCCCAACACCACCTACTCCGCCGACAAAGTGCTTCTCGACCGATTCAACCAACCGATCAAGTACGAAGGCAACCCTGCTGCGCTCGCCGGATTGGCAGAGGAGATAGTCGATGCCCTCAAGCGCCAACGCATCTTCTATCCACTCTTCGCAAACCGCGCGGTCGCCAAGCCCGACGGCAAAATGCTAGTCGCCGACAGAGACTCCGCATTATTCGTCAATGGCACCTATGATGATGGTGAGACGTATGGCTACGATAAGCCCTGCCCTCCGTCAGTCAAGCGCATTGAGACGTACACCGCGAACCGGACCGCTCAGTTCACCGAGCTCGAGTCTGACGCGGCGCGCACCGCTTTCCAAGCCAGCACTCCAGCCTTCACATCCCGACAGCTCGATGCCGATGAGAGAAAAGAGACCTTCGTGCAAGAGCACTTCGTGCTGATGGAGCTACAGCGGCTTGCGAACGTGATCAAACTCTGCTTCAAGGACTTCCCTACGCACTTCACGAGGTTCTTCAGGGACTGCGAGAACGACGGGATTGCCATCCTCCAGAAGCTTCCAAGCGTCCAGTACACCGAGGAAGATAGCGCGAGCGATCGCGATCAACGCCGCGTCGAACTTTATCCTCACTGGCGCGCCTCCGCTTCTCAACAATGACACCTTCGACGACTGGACAAGGGACTTCGAGAAGACGCAGCGGCGCGTCCCACCTGCTCTGCGCGTCATCGCCTCCGACACCGCCAAGATACAGAGGATCGACCATCTCTTCGTCACTCAACCCGACATCTCCAACGATTGGCGGACCCACATCAGGGTCGAGAGGTACATCAAGAAGGAGAGTGGCGAGGCCGTATCCTACGAGTGGTACGTCGAGCAGGCAGAGTCTTTCCTCCGCCGTCGAGCCGCCCAAGACGCGCTGCGTGACGGGCTTGCCAACAAGGTCGCCCTCGCTGCCGAGGCCTCCAACAAGGACCTGTCCAACCAGATCGCCGCGATCGTCGACGCCAAGCTCGCCACCGACCCCAACAAGAACGTGACGTCGGAGCAGGCCAAGAAGAAGGCTGAGGACGACGTCCGGCGGGCCGCGATCAACGCTTGCAAGGACGGCGACGGAAAGTTCTTCACCTGGTGCCCGTTCATGAAGCTCTGCGTCTGTAAGGAGCTTGGCTTGAGCGACGGCAAGCACCACTTCGAGAGCGGCGAGTGCCCGCTCAACAAGCCCGGCTGCGACCCTGCCAAGCTCGCTGAGGCCACCGAGCTGAGACGGCGACTCTTCGGCGGCAAAGGCAAGAAGAAGGCCAACAAGCAGAGCGCTAACATGTGGGAGTCCGTCGACGCCTGCCCGTGCTGCGATGACGAGGCTCGCGGCGACCTCGATGGTCGCGCGGCAGAGTTGGCGCGCGCGCAGGCTGAGACTGCGACCTTCGGCGGAGGGCAAGGAGCTGCGCAACCACGCAAACAACGCCTCGTGGACTGAGATCGACGAGTCAGAGCTGCCCGCCGGTCGGCGCTTGCACAAACTCGTGTGGGTGTACAAGGAGAAGCGCGACGGCACCGCCAAAGCCCGTCTGTGCGTGCAGGGCTGCACCCTCGTCGAAGGTGATGACTACGACCAGACGTACTCGGGCAACCTCCGCTCCGGCTCCTGCCGCACCCTCTGCGCGTACGCCGCCCGACACGGCTGCAGGATTCGCTCGATGGATCTCGTTGCCGCCTACCTGCAAGGAGAGTTCATCGAGGGCGAGGTCGTGTACTGCAAGATGCCAGCCGGCTACGAGAAGAAGGGGAAGATCCTGCGCATCGACAAGCCAATTTATGGCTGCCCCCAATCTGGCCGCCGTCTCCAGCGTAAGCTCTCCCCTTGGTTCACCGACCGGATGGGGATGCGAAAGCTCGAGGACTCCGACGGATGCATCTATGTCCACGATGGCCCCGACGACGAGATCTTTGCGGTGGGCGTCTACACGGACAACTGCATGATTGTCCATTCGGCCAAGCTAGACGGAGACGGCAACGCCATCGACCCCAACTCGTACTATGCCAAGTTCAAGGCTGCCTTCGAAAGCGAGTGGGACATCGTCGACGAGGGCGAGGTCGACGACGTTCTCGCCATGCAGGTCGTCCGCAACGATAGCGGGTCCGTCACCATCCACATGGAGAAGTACGTGGAGAAGGTGCTGGCGAAGTGGCTTCCGGACGGTCCTCTCCCGCGCGTGCAGGACAACAGCCTGCCCTACTCGCGGCTATTCCAGGCCCGCCTCGACGAGGCGCTCGAGCAGTCGACCACGTCGCCAGACTACCCCGAGCTCGTCAAGCCATTCCAACAGTGCCTTGGCCAGCTCATGTATGCCGCGTGTGGCGCGCGCCCGGACATCGCGTACCCGGTGTTCCGCCTGTGCAGCGCCATGTCGAGGCCCACGCCCGACCTCTTCATCGAGCTGAACACCCTCCTCAGCTACCTCCACTATCATAAGTCCCTCGGCATCACGTACGACACCGGGCCGTCCGCACTGTCTGGATGCAGCGACGCGAACCTGTCTACGACCTTCGGCACATCGGGATGGTTCGTCAAGTGGCAGGGAGCTACGATCAATTGGGGGTCGAAAAAGCAGCCCTGCGTCGCCCTCTCGTCGTGCGAGGCTGAGATCATCTCGCTGTCCGAGGCGACGAAGGACATGGTCTACTTTTGCCGTCTGGTCTCCGACCTCGACCCCGGCGCCGTCGACGGTCCCTCGGAGGTCGGCACCGACAACAAGGGCGCGCGCGACGTCGCCTACAATCCCGAACACCACGGTCGCATGAAGCACGTCGAGCGGCGTCACTTCTTCGTGCGCGACATGGTGGAGAAGTTCGAGATTCGCGTCCCCTGGATCGAGGGCGAAGGCAATGTGAGCGACTTCCTTACGAAGCCGCTCGCGAGCTCGACGCGGTTCTTCAAACTTCGCGACGAGATCATGAACGTGCGCGGCCAGACCGCTCACGTCGTGTGCGGTGCCCGCTTTGCGTGAGCGGCCCCGCACCCACGAGATCCAATCTCGCACTATATCATTCCCGCTTCGGGCAGCCGGGTTGCCGCTTTCGACCTCCCCTGGTCTCAATCGGGGGGGGGCGTCGCTGCCCGGGGATTGATCTCCCACTCTTGTGTGTCATTACCCATTCACGCTCTCTCGTGTGTCATTACCCGATCCCAATTATTGGGGATTGGATTCGTATATTCATTCAACGACGTAGTCTACAAAGGGTGTGCGATCGCTCCCGCGTGCACTGCCCAGACTCGTCGCCTGGGACGGCGGGATCAGGCCCGCCTCCCAACGACGGACTCGTACGAGGAAGAGGGCGCTCGCGTCGGCGCGGGCTGGGCTTGCTGCGGCACAAGAGCTGAGGCGCTCCGAGTGCGACAACCTGAGGACAGCGCAGTAGGCTGCTAAACGAAACGCGACATGAGCGACATCAAAGCGGCCGAGCCGGCGAGCGCCGATGGCCGACGAGGTAAAACACGCAGCTCGAGCTGCTCTGCCAGGGCCCCCTCCACTCGCCTGCACCTGCTCGAACCCTGAGCACTGTGCAGCGTTGCACGCGTTGCATGAATGCACGTTGAGATGTACCAAGGTGGTAGTACTTATTGTCTTGAGTATTGCGCTTCTCTCGACAGAGAGCGCTAGCCTCTACCCCTTCGGTCCGTCGAATCTCGGCGCGGCAGATGCGACGCCGAGACTGACGGAACCTCCCTTGTGGTGGGCTGCTGAGCCTCCCCCACACACGAGAACACCACAGGGACACCCATGACACACTAGAACGGTTGCCACGAGGCGGGATGAGACTAGACGTCTCGGACGAGACTCGTCACTCGACGGAAACCTAGATCGTGAACATCGGGTTGCTGCGTGGCGGGTCAACCCCATTATGCGCAGTAATCCAGATGTAACTGCACCTCAGACAGTCGCCGGCGTGGGCGGGAGGGGCGACTGTATCTGGGCGCGGTAGCGGTAGACGGGCAAGCCACAGCTGGCAAGATGTCGATCGCCATACGAGACCTTGCTCGAGCCGCGGCGGGGCCCTGAAAGTGGAGCGTGTCAGGATCGGCTGCTCGGCTGTGAACTGACCTCACTGTGAATGTCACCGCCATCACAGACACTATTGTCCATGAATGGAAGACTGAGAGTAGAGTATAATCGGGTCGAGCGACCGGCCCAGTCGACCGTCCCCTCCCCTCAGCAGAGCGGGCGAGAATCCTGACGGATTCACGCCTCATTTTGAGTGGGCTGAGCTGCGCGAGCAGCTCGACGCGCTGCAGATTTTACTTCGATGGAGGCAGAGGCGAGGCGCGCTGATGCCGCAGCGAGGCGGAGAGGTCAAGGGGCGCTGCACAACAAGATGGAGGGGATGCTGCTTCGCCCTTCGCGTGCAGACAGCGTTGCGCGAGCATTGGAGAGGCCAGCCTCCGGCTTCTCAGCGTGTCGCGAGTACTGTGTCTCTATCTGCCTGGTGGATGGGTGTGCGGTGGGGGACTGGGGACTCCTGCTGGCTACACTTTTGGTTACAAATTTACGGAATTACGGATTTACGGATCGACCCCCCTGCCTCCCCGTCCCGCTGCCCGGCCGTGAGACGCCGATCTACGAATCAAGTTGGTGCTGGCGAGCGGGCGATGCGTCCTAAGTACCCGCCAAGCTGAAGGCCTCGCCGCGACGATAAGGCAGCACCTCGTGGATGCCTGATTGACATTATCTTACGTCCGTCCCGCCGCCCGCCGCGCGGCCAGACTCCACATCACCTCAACGTAAACGAATATTGATGGGAAGGCGAAACACAGTCCGACCAACGACTGGGACACCAACGCGGTATGGGTGGACGCTAGACGGGCGATGACGGTCACACAGGAGCGACACACAGAACCACAAGACAAGACACTCAGCCGAACTGACTGCCACACATCCTGAGCGAACTTCCCTAGTCACCCGCGGCCGGACTCCATCCGGCACGCGTCGCTGGGCGCTCAGAGCTGCGTCCCCTGCTCGCCACCCCGACGCCTAAGACCTCGTCCAAGCCGGAGCCTCCGCGGAAGACGCGGTCACCGCCCTGGTCGCGGAGAGCCTCCTCTACGACGCGGCGGCGATCCGCGCCTGGCATGGGCGGCGGCGCAGGCTCGCCGCTCACGCACTCGATTCTCGACTCGCTCCTCAAAGCCGCACTTTCCACACGCCTGCGGAGAGGCGGCCGGCCCAAGATCTACACCTGGCACTCCTCGGTCCCGCTCACGTCGCTTCGACTCGCCTATGGACGCTGTCGCTGAACAGAATGTTCAACCCGAACTCTGTCGAGCCTTCGCTCGGACGGGGGCTGTAAGTAGTGTAAGACCTTCCCTGGGTCTGTCTCTCACACCCTCACTGTCGTCGTTTTTTTGCGAGGTTCTTGTGTCTCTTATCACCGGACTGTATTTTCTTCTCATAACAAAGCTGTGAAAATGCGACCGCTTGTTCGTAACGATATCCCGCCGCGTTGCGTGCGGCGCGGCGCTGCCCGTGCATGGGCGACACGGTTGCGGGCGACCGGCTCAATCTCCTCTACTGGTCGGGCTCGCATCTAACCAGCAGCGAGCATGAGCACGGTCTCTGCGAGGACGAGTTCAGACGGCGCTGCAGCAGCATCACGTCGCTCGAGATGTTCATGAACTCGCTGCCTGACCCTCACTGCCTGGCTGACTTCCCCAACTTGTGCGAGCTGGCACTGCACGTGCAAAACATTCCGAGGCCGGTCGGACTGGACCGACTCACGAGGTTGGAGAGGCTCTGCATGACAGAAGTGCGGCTCACCACCATGGAGGGCATCGAGCACTGCCAGAGCCTCACGCACCTAGACCTCTCGAGTAACTCGCTCGCCGCGATGGACGCGAGGGCGCGTCCGCGCCCGAGCCAGTCTCGCCGGTGGGCCAGCCTCCTTGACACCCCTCCCCTTGCGGCTCTAGGTCCTCGGGCAGCTGAGCCGCCTCCGCACCCTCTGGCTGAATGAGAACCCGATCAGCGCGATCGAGGGCCTCGCACCGCTCGCTGCGCTGCAGTCACTGTGGCTGGCCAGGACTGCGATCAGCTGCGTCGCGGACGCGCTTCGCTGCAACGATGCGCTGGAGGATCTAAACCTGTCCGCCACAGCAATCGGCAACTTCAAAGACATCCCTAGCCTAGCACGGCTGCCGCAGCTAACCTCGCTCGCGCTCTCCGACCCGCACTTTGGCGAATCGCGCGTGTGCTCGCTGTGCAACTACCGCACGTACCTGATATTTCATCTCCCACGGCTCGCCGTCCTCGATACACTGGCTGTCACGAACGACGCGCGAGGCCTCGCCGAGGCCACCTACATGAAGAAGAAGATGTACTACAACATGCGCATCAAGACCTTGCAGCGAAACACAACCAACGTGGTTCGCAAGCTGGGCGAAGTGAGGCAGGCCAAGGTGTCGCAGGTGAACTTAAACCTCAATGTGTTACTCCGCCAGCAAAAGGACGTGGAGCGAGAGATGCACGAGCTTTGCAGCGGCGGCGGCGGCGAACCATTGCTGCGCGATAAACTAGCAGTGCTGCGGAGCGGCGTCCAAGCCAAGCAGGCAGAGCTTGCCGAGACGGAGGCGGTGGCGTCGGCAGCGCGAGCGGCGGTACTCGAGAGATCGCAGGCGTCCACCCGCCGCCTGATGGTGGAGCTAGAAACCGGGGGCAATATTCGGCTCGAGGACGGCAAGCCATCCGACGTTTGGTACTCCTCGTGCGTCGATCTTGTCCTCTCGCGCTTTGTGCGAAAGGAGTACGGTCCGTACGGAATCGACGGTCTGCGGGTAACACGGGTGACGCGCATACACAACCGACAGCTGCGCAATCTCTTCGAGGAGGCGCTCGAGTCGCAGGTCAACACAACCAACGGCGGCTACAAGCGCTCCCTCGAGTACCTCTTCTACGGCGAGCACCCTCGCCTCCCGGGTGAGCTAGCGCGCGTGATGGAGGACGGCTTCCGTCCTGCGGTCGAGTACGCGCCAAGCCACCTAAACGCTGCGGTCCCACTCTCCAATTCGGTGGGCCTCTGCGACCTACCGCGCCTGCGAGCCGCTATCGCGGCGGAAGATAGCGCCCCCCTCCAGCACGGTGCCGCGCCCGCCGAGCCAAATAGGAAGCTGCACGCGCAGCTTATCGTGGCCAAGGTATTCCTCGCCCGCTGCGCGCCGGAGACTGGCGTGGACGAGTCGGGCGGCCGTCGGATTCCCATCCGTCGTGAGGACTACGAGGGTCTCTCCTCTGTCTATCGCTGCGTTGAGGCCGAGGGGAAGCAGCGAGAGTGGTTTGTGTTTGAGCCATCGCTCGTGCTACCCGAGTACCTCGTCGAGATCGAGTACCTCGAGGCGGGCTACACGCCCGAACACGAGCCGTCGAGCGCGCAGCTGCAGCACCTCGGCACGGGACTCGGGGGCAGCCTCGTCGGGGAGACCTTGTCGGAGACTGAGGCGGCCGATGTCGCCAGCCTAACGCGGCCGTTGCTCCGGTTTGCCCAGCAGTGCGCGCTCGCCTCGCCCGCCGAGCCGTACGATGACAGCTGTACTGCTGCCCTCAACATGCCGCCGCAGCTGCGGCCGCGAGCCAAGGTCTACCAGATTGAGCCATCAGTTATCGCGGCACAAGCCCAAGGGGCGCCGCTAAGGGAACTGCAGGTGCTAAACTTGCACGGGAGCGCCATCCGCACCATTCAGGGACTGGAGGACCTCCCTGCCCTTCGAGAGCTGGTACTGTGCTTCAATGAGATTGCAAAGCTCGACGGCCTCCAATCATTGGGCGCGCTGGAGCGGCTGGATCTCGGCTTCAACCTGATCAAGCGCACTGACGGCCTTGGTCCGTTGCCCGCGCTGCGCGAACTCGAGCTGAATAACAATCTGATTTATCGGGTCGAGGATGTTGCGCTCCTTCGGCAGGGGGCGCCGGATATCTCGCGCCTCAACTTGCGCTCCAACCCGGTGTGTGAGTCCAAGGCGTTCCGCACGCACGTGCTGCGTAGTCTGCCGCAACTCGAGAGCCTCGATGGGATCGAAATTAAGCGCGTGGAAGCGGAGGCTGCCGTCCGTGCCGTCGAGATAGCGCACGCCATCACACCCTCCCTGCTTCGCTTGCACGGCTATGCGCAAAAGCGCTTCAACTACTCGCTCCGACCGAACACGATTGCCGAGGATAGCTCCCGAAGTTGCGCGAGCCGCACCTGCAACGACAACGCCTCCATGGTGCCGTGGGAGAGGGTCGAGGAGATCGACCTTAGCCATTTGCAGCTGCGCCGGCTTCACGGCCTCGAGCAGCTGCTCGGCCTTCGCCGAGCCTCGTTTTGCAACAACGAGCTCTCGCGGATCGAGGGGTTGGAGCATTGTGCGCTGCTCGAGGAGCTGTCCCTCGAAGACAACCGAATCGTGCGCCTCGAAAACCTCGCGCCGCTGGCATTGCTCTGCCGGCTCGATTTGGGCAAGAACCGCATTGGTTGCATAGATGGGCTCGAGACGCTGACGCGCCTCACGCAACTGTCCCTTGAGGACAACGAAATCACGTCCCTGGCCGGCCTTGCCGGTGCGCACTCGCTCATGGAGCTCTACATCGGCAACAACCGGCTCGAGGTGCTCAACGAGGTGCAGCACCTCAAGGGACTGATGAGGTTGATCATTCTCGACCTCTCGGGCAATGCTCTCTGCGTGACGCCCGACTACCGCTCGTTCGCCGTCTTCACCCTCCGCAAGCTCAAGGTCCTCGACGGGGTTGGCATCGAGCCCGCAGACATGCACTCAGCTAAGGAGAAGTTCGCCGGCAAGCTGACAACCGACGTGCTCATCGAGCGCCTCGGCCACTCTTGTTGGGAGCGAGTACTCGAGCTAGACCTTTCACGGTCTAAACTTCGCGAGCTCGACGCACTCCGCGCTCATGGGTTTTGCCACTTGCGCCGCCTCAATCTCGACTCCAATCTACTCGTGGACCTGCGTTGCCTGCCGCACTTGCCGGCACTGACCGTCCTGAGCCTCAGCCACAACCTCGTATCCACCCGCCCACGATCTCTCGGACCCGGACCTGCTTTGTCCACTGCGGCCAGGGACGCTGGGTCTCACGGCGGTCTCGCCTCCCTCGCTTCGTTGGAGGTCAATCCAGCCCGGGGAAGCACGGGTCCCAAGCGCGCAGTGCTGAGCTTGGATGGCCCACCCCCTGCAGGTGCTACATCTCGGCTTCAACCAGATCAGCGATGTCCCAGCCCTCAACCTCGAGTCGCTGAGGCAGCTGCGTGTGCTCCATTTACAGGGCAATGACATCGCACGGCTCGATGGCGTGTCCCAGCTGCACGAGCTGCGCGAGCTCAATCTCGACCGCAATAGAATCCGTGCGCTCGACCCTGGCTCACTCGCTGGGTTGTCGCTGCTGCGCGAGCTGCGCATCGAGGAGAATGGGCTGCGCTCATTGGAGCACATCAGCGCCGCCTCAAACCTCGCGACGCTTGCCCTCGGCTCGAATCGCATCAGTGACCTTGCGGAGCTAGAGAAGCTGACCGAATGTGCTGCTCTGCAGTCTCTGGCTCTCGCGAACAACCCGGTGGCGCGCAGGCAACTTTACCGGCCGTCTCTAGTGCGGCGCATGCTCTCTCTACACGTGATTGATGGGCGCGAGATTTCGCCAGAAGAGCGCGCTCGGACCGAAGCCATGTACAGTGCCGAGGCGCGAGCCGCCGCCGCCACTCAGGCTCATTTCACACAGGCCCACCATATGGCACACCACGGCGCGACCTCTGAGGTCCGAAGCTACGCGGCAAAGGTCCCGCTCAAACTCACTTCGATGAATTTCGACCAGCTAGCCCTCGGGGGCGCAGACTTTGGAGGCGGCAGTGGCGGCGCATACTCCGGCTTGGTCGGGCCGGCGGTGGCGAGTGGCTACCGAGAGAGCAGCGGCCAGAATCTCGCCATGGCAGCTCAGCAGCTGCAGCGCGGAAGCCTCGGGACCAGTGGCTTTGAGGCCGCACTGCGGACCGCACGGCGCGTGGACAGCGGAGGGGTGCGGGCTGGCGAGGGCCAGGCCGACTACAGCAGCTTCCGAGAGTACAACCAAAGTCGGAGGGTCAAAACTGGGCTGTGAATTTAGAAGTACCCACGTACGTCAGATGTCACAGTTTGTGTCCTCGAGTGTCGCTGTCGGACCCTCTTCAAAAGTAGGTCTAGGGGTGCGAATGTACACACATATTAATACGGTATCTCCGCCTCACCCGCCACCCCGCGCGCGAGATGTGCGCATAGAGCCGCGTACACACGTGCATGTGCACACAAGTCTCGTAATTGCACATCCTCGCGCATGCACGATTCAGACACACATGAGCAAATGTATGGGCAAGGCCAAGGGAGGCAAAATTTCATTCGTATATGCAAAACACGCGTACCCTGCACACCGCCTCCACGCGTGATTCGGTCTGTCACGGACGAGCAGCCGGTCAGGCCGCATAACAAGTGCCTGTAGCTGTACCCGAGGGACGTGTGCGACCTGTACCTGCACCCGACAAAGTACTGCCGAAAGCGGAACCGAAGTTGCCGCCTTGTGCGTCGCCGCAATCAAGGGGCAACAAACACGTGGAGAAAGGGCCAACATAGTGAGCGCTGGCGTCATGCAACGTTGCAACCTCTGGAGCGAGGCGCTCACGGCCCCCCGCCAAAGCAAGCAGCGCCCCCGCCGCCTTCGCTGCCAGCGAGGGCTTTCTCCGCGGCGCCGGGCTCGACAGCCTGGCAATGGTGGCCGAGCAGGCGGCCGTCGTGCTCGCACCAAGGCGAGAGGAGGAGGAGGTCGGCAGAGAGAGGCAGGATACCTTCGCCGAGGCGCGTCTTTTCGAAGGTGGCGCGCTGCAGCAGTAGCACCGTGTGCGGGGCGCCGTCCACCGGGGGCGGGTGGAGACGCTCGCACGTGACCGCCACCAGTGGCTGCGACGCGGCGGAGGTGGCGACGGCGCGCAGCAAGAGCGCCTCGAGGGCGGGCGTGACGAGCGCCATGCGGAGACGATCGGCGCAGAGCGGCATGAGGCCGCCGAGTCCGTGCTTCGCGTTGAGCATCGAGCGATCCGCCTCGACGGCGTGTAGCGCACGTTGCGCCTCCTGCCCGAGCGGGCCTGTTGCCGGCCGCCGGCCGCCACCGCGGGCGCCTGCAGGGAGCGCTTCGACGAGCTGGTTGGGCCGGGACAGCCCGGCGACGAGGCCACTCGAGCGCCGGCCGCCCGAGCGCCCATCGCGTGTCACGCCCGACGACGGCACAAGGGGGCCCGGCCCCGGGAAATCACTCGGCGTCGACGGCGACGGCATCAGCGGCAGTGCCCAGGGCTGTGGTGGAGCCTCGCCGTCGGAGCTGTCAATGTCGTCACTTGCGCTTTGCGGCGGAGCTAGACGCGAACGCGCCGCTCGCGGATGATTGGGGAGCGTGCACAAGCCGCCTGCGCCGGCGGAGCCGCCGCCGCCAGCGCTTCCACCAATCAGGCTTGGGGCAAGCCGTCGCGAGAAGGGCGTGTGGCCAGCGGCCGCGGAGACAGTGCTCGTTCGCGGGGCGGGCGTGGCGGCGGTGGCGGCCGGGGGCGCCCGCAGCGAATCCGGAAGACGCCAGCCTCTGGCGTTCTGCATCGAGCGCTAACTGTCGGACTCGCGGAGCCAGCTGCTCGGTCTCGCGGAGTTGTCTCTCCGTAGCCTCTTCGGACCCGATGCTTCACTCATGCTTCGGTGTGAATCACGCCCGCTGTGAAAACAGTTGGCGGGGGATTTTTTCGCCAGTCAATAGAGCATGAAAATACCTTTCAGACGGTACCTTTCTGTCCTCCAGAGTCGAAGAACTCGACCGGTGGCTGGCCGCCAAAGTGGCTGGACGGCGCCGCGGCGCACACTGGTGAGCCGCGGAGCACACTGAGGGAGCTGTCCTCGGCGCAGCCGATCGGCTCCCGCGGCCTGGATGGTGGCAGTGGTACTCCCTGAGGCTCCCTGATTTTTTCTGGTATTTGTTGAGCACTCTCTGGTCACCTTCGCCGGGCGAGCCTGGCTCTCGCTGCACAGCGGCGCGACCCGCGGTGAGCACATCGTACATCCGCAGCACGCTTCCGTGCTCCACCATTGGGAAGCTTCGCGGTTGCTGAAGGTTCCAAAGCTGCGCCCCGAGAGCTCGTGTGCCACTTACTTTCGCGCAGGAGGTGTGGTCTTGTCGGTGGTGGGGTCCCCTCCCCCTAAAACCCCCCTAGCGCGCGAATTCTTTTTTCCAATACTCACGCGAGCAGCGAGAGGCATGCCGCGGCTCGACGATCTGATCGCCGAATCCGCGCCCGCGCCCTCGGCGTCGTCGGAGGCCGCCGCCAGCGCACGACGATCGCGCGCGACGCCGCTCTTAATGTGATATGCCAAAAAGAATTTCTGGCGAAATGAGGCGTTAATTTCTGGCTCGCTGCATCTTCCCACCGTCGCCCTCTGAAATATGCTCTCGCTCACCTCCGCGCCGCTGTCGCTCGCCCCCACGGCCGTCATGGGCCGCGCGTCGGCGCCCAAGATGTCCTTCGCGGACGAGTTCACGTTTGACTCGAAGCCGTGGTCCTCGTCCGAGATCAAGGACAAGGCCGGCCTCGAGGCGCTGGCCAAGAAGCTGAACCCGACGGTGGGCCTCTGGGACCCGCTCGGCATCGCGGAGACGTCGCCCGAGACGATCGGCTGGTTCCGCCACGCCGAGATCAAGCACGGCCGCGTCGCCATGGCCGCCTTCGTCGGCTACTGCGTTCGTGCGTGCCGCTCCCGCACGCGCGCCCCGCCCGCCCACCACCGCTTGCCCACCCCGCCCCGCCCACCCCGCCTGCCCCGGCCGTCGTTGACGCCCGCTTCGCATCCGGTCGCAGAGTCCAACGGCATCCACTTCCCGTGGAACATCCAGGGCTGGCAGGGCACGCCGGTCGTCAGCTTCGCTGACATTGCCGCGGCGGGCGGCCCTGCGGACCAGTGGGATGCGCTCTCGACGCCGGCCAAGCTGCAGATCCTTGGCGTGATCGGCTTCCTCGAGATGTGGAGCGAGACGAGCGTCGTGCTCAAGGCGGACGGCCAGGAGCACTACGTGCGCGGCGGCAAGCCCGGCTACTTCCCCAAGCTGTCGCGCTCGGACGAGATGGCGTTCCCCCACCCGGTGCCGCTCAACCTGTGGGACCCCTTCGGGTTCACGTCCAAGATGACGCCGGAGCGCAAGGAGAAGGCGCTCCTCGCGGAGGTCAACAACGGCCGCCTCGCCATGATCGGCATCTTCGGCATGATCTCCGCCTCCAAGGGCCTGCAGGTGCCCGGCCTCGACACGGTTGGCATCAAGCCGTATGCGGGCGAGGTGATGGCGCCCTTCGCGGCGGGCGACGCCTCGCTGCCCTTCGTCTCGGGCATGCTCGAGAAGATTGGCACGTACGGCTACTAGGCGCCTATCTGTGTAGCCCAGGCCCCCCAGGCGACGAGCGGCCCCGGCGTGCGGCGTGTGCCCACGCCGTCTCCGCGCTCGTCGAACGCGCGGCTCAGCCCGCACAGGGTGTGTGTGTGCGATCTCTTGTTCTCTACTTAAACCGAACAAGCTGTACACGCGCTTAAAGACCCAGCTGACAGCAGACAGCCGGTGCGCGCTGGCCGCTGCCCGCTGCGGCTTGTGGGCCGCTCGTTTTCGCTTTTGTCGTGTTTTGTGCGTTGTGGGGGTCCTGTGTGCTCAGCCTGTGGGGGTCGCACACCGCACACACGCCGTCTCTTGAGGACGTTCCATCTCTCACCTCTCAGCCGCCCTCCGCCCACTGCTCGAGCTGCGCGACGCTCGCGGCGTCTGTCCGCGGCGGCACCGCCTCCAGCGCGGACCGAATGTGCCGCTCCGTCACCTCGCACGCATCGAGGCTGTCGCTCAGCGCGAGCTGCGCCGCCTCGCGACACAGCGCGGCCAGCTCGGCGCCCGAGTAGCCGCGCGTCGCCTCCGCGAGCGCGTGGAGGGACACGCCCCCCGCGAGCGGCATTCGGGCCGTATGCACGCGGAGGATCTCCCTCCGATCGCTCTCGTCCGGCAGCGCGACGTAGATCATGCGGTCGAAGCGGCCCGGCCGCAGCAGCGCTGGGTCGATCAGGTCGGGCCGGTTGGTGGCCGCGATGACAACGACCCGCGTGAGCGCCTCCACGCCGTCCATCTCGTGCAACAGCTGCGTCCGGCGGCCAAGGATCAGAGGCAGAAGGGGAGGCAGGCGCTGGCGGGCGAAGAGCGGGCGGGGGAGGGAGGAGGGGGGGAGGGAGCCGACTCCAACGGCCTGTACACACCCGACGGCCCTTCGCACTCGAGGACGCTGTCTCGTCTCTGGGAAGGTGTGCTGGGTCTCTGGGCCCCGCATGTGTTGCAGTCTCGCTCATGCGGAAGGTGTGCGGCGGCTCCCCCCGCTCCGCAGCCTGCCTGCGAGAGGACGCGCGTCGAGACCTGGCTCCCACCGGAGCGGACGGGCGCGAGCGCGTCGATCTCGTCGAAGAAGACGATGGCGGGTGCGCTCGCGCGCGCCTTGCGGAAGAGGGACGCCACCAGCTGCTCCGACTCGCCAACCCACTTCGAGAGGAGCTCGGGGCCCTTGACGGCGAGGAAGCTTGTGCGCGTGTCTGCGGCGAGGGCGCGCGCCGCGAGCGTCTTTGAGCAGCCGGGAGGACCGTAGAGCAGCACGCCTCGAGGCGGCCGGATCCCGAGCTGCGCGAACCGGCCCTGCGGTGCAACGACAAGGTGTGACGACAGGGGCGCGCCGGCGACTGGAGCGTCGAGGCAGCGTCGAGGCAGCAAAACCACGCAGGGGGGTGCGTGTGTTCTCAAGCGCTGGGAGACGTGACCGCGTGGCCCGCATCTAGGGAATCTGGGAATCTAACGCATCTAGGGAATCTGGGAATCTAACGACGCGAGCCGCGTGCTCGAGCGGCCACACCACCGCCTCCTGCAGCGCTTGCTTGAGCCGCCCCTGCCCGCCGACATCTCCCCACGACACGGCCGGCACGCTCATCTCGCGCCCCCGCAGCGGACCAGGCCGCACGTGCGGCAGCGCCGCCTCGAAGTCGCAACGCTCCACCACGAGGGCGGACTCGGCCGCCCCGGCCGCCCCGGCCGCCCCAACCTCCGCTGCCACCCCGGCACGCGGCGACGAGGCGTCCGACCGCCTCGCCGTCGCCACGCCTGTCCGCCCCGCGCCGTCGGCTGCCCCGGCCGCTGCTGCCCCGGCCGCCGCTGCCCCGGCCGCCTGCTGCCCCGCGCCGTGTGCCGACGCGGCCCCGCTGCGCAGCCGCGAGATGGCGAGGGCGATCGCCTGGCGGGCGAGGGGGAGCAGGGGGTGAGAGGCTGTTTGCTTGCTTCTCGACAGTGGCTCACTGTCATTAGCCTGGCGGGTGAGGGCGAGCAGGTCCGCCCGCACGAGGCCAGACGTGCTGCCGGCGAGCCTGACAAGCGGCGCGGCTGGTCTCGGGCTAGACCTCGGGCTAGACCTCGGGCTAGACCTCGGGCTAGACCTCGGGCTAGACCTCGGCGGCGCGGCAGTCGACGCGATCTCGGCAGGTGGAGGCGGCACGCAGGTGGAGGCGGCAGTCGACGCGATCTCGGGCCACGCCTCGGGCCAGGTGCCAGGTCTCGGCTAGACCTCGCTACCTGGAGAGCTGCGAGTCGGTGAGGGAGTGCGGCACCGCGGCGAGGAGCGCGTCGAGCAGCCGCCGCCTTTCCGCCTCGTCCGGCACCGCCGCCTCCACCTCGCAGTCGAACCGGCCTGCGCGCGAGTCCGAGCGCCACGGCGTGAGCAGCCGCCTGCACCCACCCTGAGGGCGGTACCCAGCCCTGTTGTGGTGGGCCGTGGGGGGCGGTCTACGGTCTACGGGCGAGCGCGTGGGGGAGACGGCTCCGGCGTAGCAGGCGACAGAGGCGGGGTTGGCGATGGGTCGGGTCAGGGCGGCGGCGGCGAGGGCGGGGGCTGGCTTGGCGGCGGAGATGGTGCGGGAGGAAAGCGGCGTCGCTCCTGGCCGCCGCAGCGCCGGGTCGATCGCTTCTGCCGCTGCGGTGGTAGCAAGGACGATGCTCCCTTCGCGCAAGCCCTCCATCTGCAGCAGCAGGCAGGCGAGCAGCCGCCGGGCGGCGGCGGCGGCGGCGGCGGCGGCATCCCTCGCCCCGCCGATGAGCTCGAGCTCCTAGCGCACGTGTGATTCCGTGTCCTGTTGCGTAGATTGCGGCTGTCGCGCCGAGGAGCTCCAGCTCCCGATTGCCCGAGGTTGGCGGAGATTGACGTGAGCTTACGCGAGAGAGATGCGACCATCGTGCAGTGGATGCACGGGCTACGAGGACAACGCACACGCGAGGGCTACGAACACAGCGGCCAAGTCAGGAGCACGGGCAGTGCAGCCGAGGGCAGTGCAGCCGAGGGCAGTGCAAGCGAGTGTCGTGACGAGTGGCCGCTCTGGGGAGTGGAGTCCGCATCTAGGGCTCGAGATGTGGGGAGATGTGGGGAGATGTAGTCGAGATGCGGCCGCATCTAGGGCGCGGGATGTGGGGAGATGTGGGGAGATGTAGTCGAGATGCGGCCGCATCTAGGGCGCGGGATGTGGGGAGATGTGGGGAGATGTAGTCGAGATGCGGCCGCATCTAGGGCGCGGGATCCTCGATGAAGAGGACCGAAGGCGTGCGCTCGCGCGCCTATCTACCGCACGAGCCGTGAAGCCGCTCTCTCCACCGCAAGGAAGAGGAGCGGCGGCGGGGCTTGCCTCCGCAAACGCCTGAGCGAGCCTCTCCTCCGCTCCAGCCCCCTGCCGCGAGGCGAGGTCTCCTGCTCACAGGGTGAGCTGTGAAGGGAGGCTGCTCGCGCCTCCTCTCCACGGCGCCGGACGCCGCCAGCCAGGTCGCCTGCGGCGCGGGAAGCGGGGGAGGGCGAGTGGCGGGAGGCGAGGTGGGAAGCAGCGGTGTGCGGATGGCTTACGCGGGCGCGATTCGCGGCGTGGCTCCGGCGGGCGGGAGTGCCACAGGGCGTGGGGCGCGAGCCCACCTGCCGACACGTGCACGTAGTGCGCGTCCAGTGCACGGCTCAGCCTCGCCCCGATCCCTGCGCCGGCGGGGCCGTGCACGAGGATGCCTCTGGGAGCGGGCACGCCCCACTCGCGAAAGACGTGCGGCGCGTGCAGCGGGAGCTCGGCGAGCGCGATCAGCTCATCGTCGACGGCCGAGCCCTCGCCCAACCCGTCGCTCGTCACATCCCGTGGCTTGGCGGCGGCGGCATCATCGCGAGGCTGGTGCAGGTAGGCACGCGGCTCGCTTCGCGTCGTCGCCTGGCCGACCCATAGCTCGACGCCAGACTCGCCGTGGGAGCGGTGCACACCCGCGGTGGTTGACTGGGACGCTGGTTGCAGCTTGCGGCCCGCCCAAGCGAGGACCCGCCGTGGCTGCCCGGAGCCGTCGAGCGGCCGGGCGTAGAGCGGCTCTCCGAGCGGGATGTTGTGGCGGCGCAGCGTCTCCCAGCGCAGCAACACGTGCTCCCGCGGGAGCATTGTGCTGCGACCTGTCCCACAAAAGCACGACAAGGGCGCGGACTGTCGCGCACTGCAAACACCTGTAGCGGAGCCGCCTGGTAGAATTTACGCCTGCAGAAACCTAGCGAAAAATACGTGTTTACCGGCACAGTCCCGCAAAACGACGCCCCTGAAGAGGCCATTTTTGCTTGAAGCGCCTCTCCAGCTCTCGCTTTCGCTCTCATGCGCGACGCTGGCCAGGCCATGTAGGTGCGCGCTGCCGCCCAATCGACGCGCTCCCCCGCCCAAGGCCCAACACCCCTACCCGCCGGGCAGCGCGCCATCCAAATGGCCGCCCCGACCCTCACTTCCGGCTGCGCGCCCACGCATCGGCCAGCAGGGCCGCCGAGCTCATCGCGGCTGGTATAGTTGGAAGTTCGTCGGAGACGCGAGGACCTGCGGGAGCATATACAGGTGTTCTTTCGCTTGCCGCGAAGGCAATCCTCGCGAAAAGAATTTTGGAAGCATTCTTAAAATACAAGCGCCTCTCTTTTGGAAGAGAACATTCCAGTCCCGCAGCTCGCCCCCCAGATGAGTCCGGGGGGGGAGCACAAATAGGACGCCCAGCCCTGCCCTCGTGCCGCCGAGTGTGTATCCTATGCGAGAGAGATCCCCTGTGCCCTGTGCCCAGCTCTCTCCGCGCGGCGATGCGCCCTCCCCCCTCGCTTTTGCAAAATCCTGCAAAGGTGGGGACGTGTCTGTCCTCGACCCAGCCCTAGGGATCTTGGATGTCCGTTTTAATTTAATTACCTCGCGCGCATCTCCCTCTTAACTAACATCCCAACACGGAATTCCTAGGCTCCCTCGCACGAGAAGCCGGACGGGAAGGTCGCTAGTCGAGAGAGATCGCCAGTGGAATAGGGAGTCCACTGTGCTGCGAACCTGTCGCTGTCCCTTGTCAGGAGCAGGAGAACTAGATCTAGGAGAGCGCAACCAGTAGGAGGCCCGCGCCTGCCCCCGTGCCGCCGGGTGCAATAGACCGCGTTAGCACCCCAGTGTGCTTAAAAGCACACTTAGACCCGCTCAGTCTCGAGGCTCAGAACTTAGACTACTACCCAACCAGTTATAGAGCTGCGGCGGGCGCGGGCGGCGGGGGGGGCGCCTGGGCCAAGCCTATTCATGATTACAATGAGTAACTCAACTCATCCTTTGGCAGCTTGTATTGTTGAGTATGAGTAGTCATGACGTGTGGTATCCATGAATATGAATACTCAAGTCTGCCTGTACTCATGAATATGAAGAAGGTATTCAAATACAAGTGCGTGAGCAACTTGCAGGTAAAACCCAGGTATACCCGCAAAAGTCCAGGTATATATCCAGGTATACCCGAGAAATACCCGAGCGCGCGTCCACATGCCGCGCACGCCCTACTGCCAGGCGCCAGGGTCCCTGCGCCAACTGCGGCGCGCACCGTCTGCTCAAGTACGCGCACCGCACCATGTGCTGCCGCTACAAGGGCCAGAGAGTGGCTGGAGCGGCCGCACACTGCTCGGTACCCCCCCTGCACATCTAAAGCCATGGCCGACCCCCCCCCCCCCAGCAGCAGCGCTCTGCTGCTGGGGGGGTCGGCTGCTGGGGGGGTCCGGACACCCCCCCCAGCAGGAGCGCTCTCTGCCTGTGGGGGGTGCTGGCATCTCTGTACAGACAGCAGCTGTAAGTAGCATGTCTTGTGTTCCAGTGGCGAGAATTTATGGTCGACACCAAAATCAGTGATCTCACCGGCGGGCCCTCCTACTGCCAACCGGGCTCGAAGGCGCGGTGAACACAACCGCCTCGAGCGTACGCTCAAACACTAACCCAGGGTGGAGGGGGGGCGGCCGCAAAAAAGCCGGAGAGCTGGGTCCGTGCGCTCTGCTGCTGGGGGGGTCAGACCCCCCCCCCCTAGCAGCAGGGATGGCTTTAGATGTGCAGGGGGGGTACCGAGCAATGTGCGGCCGCTCCTGTGGCGCAGCGCCAGGCGCGGCTGGCAGGTGGCGGTGCGGACGACGCGGTCGTGCCGACATTCTGCTACAAGATTGAGGCGCTTTTGCGACCCCGGGTGCACCCGGACCCACCCGGAGGGGCCCGGGAAGGGTCTAGCGGCCCTCCAGCGGCCCCCAACGCCCCCCCGCGGCCCTGTTTTGGTAGTGTATCACACATATGTTGTGTCACTATCATACCCACGACCCAGGGTACCCGAGCGCTCCCGAGCAGCTATAAGGTCGAGCCGCTGGAATGCCTCCTCCAGTGGCACCCAGTCGCGCTCGAGGTACGGGAGGAGCATATCATACAGTTTCACTGCCCGAGCCTGCAGCTTGGCACACTCGTGGCACTTGTCCTCGTGGGCGAGCTGAATCCCGTAAACGTTCCGCATATCATCGAATTGCGCCTCGTTCAGGCCGGCGTCGATCATCCGACGGGTCACCCGACGTTCGAAGACGCTTTCCCGATCGCTGTCCGAAGACGCGTCGTCGGGACGGGAGTCGTTGGCCGGCAGGTCCTCGACCGCCGGCTCCTCCTCGACCGCGGGCTCCTCTGGCGTGGGCACGTCCTGCAACGTTTCTGGAACGACAGCGAGAAGCGCCTCCGCGCCCGCCTGCCGCCGCTTGCACTTGCCCAACTCCTTGTCCACGCCGCTCGCGTGCGTCTCGAGCCGCTTGCCGTACACGACCGCCTGCTCGAGTCGCGCGCCCGCCAGCTCGCCGCGTAGGTCCCACACAAGGTACGCCAGCGCAGCCTTCTTCAGGTTCTTTATCTGGAGAGCCATCAGCGCGCCGCGCCGCTGCGACGAAAAGAGCGTGTTTACGGCAGCTTTCGCGGCGATGATGATGCCGTTGGTCACCTCGCCGACGATGCTGACCTCGTTGGAGGGTGCGGGGACGGGTTGGTTGCCGAGGAGCATGGTCTCGAGGCGATTTAAGAGCGCGGTGGGCTCCAAGGCGAGCTGCGCCGAACTGGAGCGAGTCGGCCGCGCCCGAATTGCTGGCGCCGCATCGGCGCCGGTCGAGTCCGACACGACCGCGGTCTTCTCCACCGGCTCGAGGTTCGCCATCCGCGGCGCTGCACCGTGGATTCGAACGGCTGCTCGCTCCTGCTCGGCGGCTGGCCTGTCAGCACGGCGCTTCGAGAGGGCGGTCGCCGTCGGTGCACGTTGACTATCATGGCGAGCGAGCAGCCCCGCAGTGAGTGGATGCAGCCCACCGGAGGTACTGTCTGAGGTGGGGCCCGGCGCGTGAGGCTCGTCGGCGTCCGCCATCACCGCCTGCGGCCACTGCAGAGTCGGCCAAACGAGGCTTGATTTTGGCCATTTTGGCACGGACCCTTGCGGACTCTTCACAGCTGGGTCCCGGTGCACCCGGCCCCGATCAACTGATCGGAAAGAAGCGGTGCAACAGGCTGGCTGCTGCCGACAGCACCATTTGCTACCTCACGCGCGGCACGTTCAAAGAGGACCAGCATGACACAGGCTTTGCCGATACACGCTGGGTCTTAGGGGACCCCTAGGGTTCTGAGGGCCGAATTTTTAAGAGCTTTTCAGAAATGAGGAGGTTTGGGGGCTTAAATTGCCATTTATCAGAGATTGCAGGCACGGGGGGTCCCTCTTTTAAGACCGTTTAAGAAAATCGGCCTCACCGGCATGCGTCTCGGCTCTCGCTGGGTTTTCCGCGCCGTTTTCTCCAATACTGCCGTTATTAGGCACAAACCCGCCTCTGAAGACACATCTGTAAGTCTGGTGCACTGACAGGAGCCATACTCGCATAGGGGACGCGTGCTAGCTGACTGTAGCCAGCTTCCCGGCCTCCGGCGTCTACCGGGAGCCTCCGGGAGCCTCCCGGACCATCGACCTCGGGAGCTCTCCCGCACCGTTTAAGCGTTTAAGACCGTTTAAGGAATCGGCGGCCCAGCAGCTCTTAAAACCGGCCCGGGCCGGTTTTAAGCCGTTTAAGCCGCAGGCGCCCCAGGGCCCACCCTTTTAAGCCTAGGGGTCCCCTAAGCGCGGGTTGAGCTTGAGGAGCTGTACGAGAACTGCGGCAAGGCGCAGCTGAACGGCGCAGTGAAGAAGTACCGAAAGGCGAAAGATGAGGCTGTGAAGGCCGCGGTTGCTGAGTTTGAAGAGGGCATTGAGGATTAGGCAGTCAGTAGTGCTAGTGGCGTGGCTCGATAGAGGATTTGTCGTTGTTCATGACCGCTTCGGGCTATCGTTTCGCGTGCGCTGTGAAGAGAATAATGATCAAAATTAAAACACACAAACCGAGCCACACAGGGCACGGCGGCTAGATATTCACGATGCCACGGCGGCGGCATCCGACGACGAAGCCGCCCCGGCCGGCCGCCCCGCGGCCGCCGATGAAGATGCCGCACCGGCCGCGCCCGAGGAGCCCTCCTTGTGCTCGCCCCCTTTGCCTCGGAACAGCTCGTAGTACTTCTCCTTGATCGCTGCCACTGCCGGCTCGAAGGCCTTCTTGTTGAAGCCATTCCTGACCAGCACAGCGAGGTGGGCCGGGTTGAGGTTGGGGTCTGCTAGCAGCGCCAGCGCGAGAGAAGATCTGCTACCCGGGGAACTTGACCTGCGTGCCGATAAGACGCATCGGCTGCCGAAGCAGCTTGTATTTTTGCACATCTAGCCGAGGCTGGGCTCTTCCCTTCCTCTTTGGTGGCATACGCGAAGCGCTGGAGCAGAGACAGCGGTCGGAGAGAGAGAGAGATTGTTGTTTTGTTTTTGCGGTCGGTCGAGTCTGACCGCAGGGAGCGCGTTTTGGGACGTGTTCCACATGAGTAGTATTCAGCTATTCACATGGACTTGAGTACAAGTACTCACGCATGCGCCAGACGTACTCATGAGTATTAATACTCAACTGCGGTGGTACTTCATCCCCGCTTTTTTGGTGAGAGTTGAGTATACTCACGATGCACGTGTATTATGAGTGTACAAAATACTTGAATACTATTGTAATCATGAACAGGCTTGCGGCCTGGGCGCTGGGGCGCGGTGCCGGGGCGCGCGGAAACTCAGGACACGGTTGCCGACAGAAGGGGATATGAAAGCGCACGCTCGCATCGCTCCGCGACCTGGCCCGCGCACCCCGCATTCTAATCAGGGTAGAAACGGGGAGGGCGACTGCGCGACGTACACAGGCGTGGGCTATGCGTAGGGGCACCGCTGGGGCTGGGGCGGTCGGCGGTCGGCGGCGCTGGAAGGCGATGCGGACTACGGGAGATTCACGCTGCATGCCCCTTCCAGAGGCGGATGGCAGCTTGCAGCGTGAGGATGCGTTTGCTTGCCCTGCGCCACAGCACCGCGCCCCGGGTCTCTGCCTTCTCCAGGTCGCTCCAGATCTCCGACTCGGAGGGGGCGGTGCGCGGGTCCAGAAGCCCTTGAGAGGCGATGCTGCGGCCGCGGCGCGTGGCCCGCCGCTCCTCTGCACTGGGCCCAAAGCTGCGGGCAAATACATAGAGCACCGCCGTCAGCAGCACCATGGAGCCGACCAGCGTTCCAGCAAAGTAAAGCTCGTGCTTTTGGTCCCATGGGCTCGTGTGTGGGTCCTCACGCATGTTGGCGCAATCGCCCTGTACACGCGCCGAGGTGAGCGCCCGCCCCGGGGGGGGTGGGCCTACGGAGAGGACGGTTCGTCTGATGTGCCCCCCCCCGTTCTGAGGACGGAGGCGGGCTCACCCGGGACTCACCGGGGCCGGGCCGTCCCCCCCCCCTCCCTCACCCCCACCCCGGCGCTAGCCCCGGGCTGCCCGACCTGCCTGGCCAGCCGGTTTGAACATCGCTGTCAGGGACCTCCCAAGGGCTCCAGCCTCCCGCCCGGCCCCTGGCTGACTGCCAGCACCAATGCACCTGCCTGAAGCATCACCGCAGCCGGCGACGTCCTGGGGTGAGGTCTCGGGGTGAGTCTTCCCGGGTAAGGCCCGCCCACCCCCCCGGCCCCCGCCCGTCCTCGGGCTACTGTGATGGGCACATGAGTCTCTGGACGGACGGAACGGCGGGAAATTCATGAACGGACGGAACTGTGATGGGCACATGAGTCTCTGAACCCCCCGGGCCCGATTTGGGCCTCCTTCGTGGGAGATTTTTTTCTCTTTCGGAAAAAATATCGCCGAGGCAGCTCGCGGCGCGGCCGAGAGAAGTCCTGGTGGCTGGGGTATCTGTGTTGCCTCCAATGCTGCCCGCAGAGGACCTGAGCAAAGTTCAGGCAGCGGCGCTGTTGTCCTCCACGCTGCCACCACGACCGCCCGCGGCGCGAGAGGGGTTCTGACGCAATCCGTAATACCGTAGGACTTTGTTGACGACGATCTCCTCTCGTGCTTTCTGTGGGCGGCGGGAGAGAACGCCGTCGCGCAGCCCGGATGGGAGAGCCCCAGCGTGAATCCTCTCAAGGGCATCCCCCTGCCGCCCGCGATGCCGCCGCTGCCGCCTCCGGACGTCGGGCCGTCAGCAACAACCGGAGGGTCCCGGGCAGCCCGAGCAGCGGCTGATGACGAGGACGACGGTGAGGAGGAGGATTTGCGCGGCGGGAATCCCAACCTGTCGAAGGAGCAGAAGCTGACGCAGCGCATGCAGCGCAAGGCCGAGTCAGCACGCGTCGCGCGGCTGCGGAAGAAGGAGTACGTGAACGGGCTCGAGCAAGAGGCGCGGCCGCACCTCTCCGCCACTCTCACTCACCCGCACCTCTTGCGGCGTACTTGGCCCTGCCCTCTCCGGCTCCTCCTCCTCCCTGCAGTGGCCCCTGCCCCACCTCCGCACGCGGGCTGCTCGCTCCTCCCCTCCTCCCTCCCCAACCTCCTCGTCTCCACCTCCGTACCTCCTCCGCCACGCCACGCTAGCCCGCCACCGCCGCTACGCCCGAAGGGGGCCGGGGGGGGGGGGGGGAGGGGGGAGGCTACCCAGGCCAAAAGAGAGAGAGAGAGAGAGAGAGAGAGAGAGAGAGAGAGAGAGAGAGAGAGAGAGAGAGAGAGAGAGAGAGAGAGAGAGGGGAGGGGGAGGAGGGAAGGGTGGAGAGGAGGGAGGAGGAGGAGGGGGTGGAGGGGACGGGGCACTCCTCAGCCCTCCCCTCCTCGTCGCCTCCTCCCTTGTGCTCTCGCTACCCGCGCCACACCTCCCCTCGCGGCCGCGCCGCCGCGCCTCACGCCCCCCTCCCCCTCGCGCCTCGCAGGTTGCTAATCTCAAGGCCGAGGTCGCGGCCCTTCGCGAGAAGGCCTCCAACGGCATCGGTCAGTCTGCCAGTGACTCGCTGCCGGCGCCGCCCGCCTCTCGTGCCTTAGCCTCCGGCACTGGAGAGGGAGGGAGAGGAAGCGGGTCCGCGTGTGTGTAGGGGCCGCCTTCCCTCAAGGAGGAGGGACAGCGTCACCGTGCCTCGATGGAGGCGCGCTGCGCCAGCCCCATCGACCCCTCCACACCGCCGCCGCAGCTCCCGCCACACCCGAGCGCACCCCCGGCCCAGACCCGCCCCCTCCCCGTCCCGTGAGCCGCCGCCCGAGCACAGGCGCTGCTGCAGCAGTCCGCGCTGGAGACCACGCCCGGCGCGACGGAGGCGT